TTAGTGCAGCGGACCAAGTCCCTGTTCACTACTGCTCATTAATATTGTACCTTGTACCTAAGTAGTTATATAGTTATGTATGATTGTGTTCTTACTTTACTATTAGTTTATTGGATCTCATTTATCTGAATAAATAAACTATTGTTATTATCTTCAGAATAATAACATAATAAGAAGTCGTAACGAATACTTCACTTTAAACGTTATATAAATAAATTCTACGAATAATTGTTACACGAGTTGTGATCAAATTTTTCGGGAGTCATATACCAATTCATAGTTTTGTGTTTTTAATTGATAATGATATATGAAATGATCCTTTAGTGTAATGCATGCAGATGTTTATGGAAGCTTCCATTAGTGATGAATGTGATGATTATTATTATATATGCACATTATATATGTGTAAATGACCTTCTGAAATTAATATATTAATTAACAGTCACGGATCTATCCATAAATTACTCCAACATGACATGACATTATATATCATTTATTAAATGACCCATTAATGTCAATTGATTAGTAATATGAGATACGTATTACTATGTTGCAGAACCTAAGCCGATAGCTGATAAATTAATATTGACTGCATTCAGCAATATACGTAAGCTAAAGTCTATCAAAAGTTTCATTTCACTTTGAACTATACTCAAATAGTAATAAAGGTCAAGAGAATAAACATAGAAAATTGTAAATGGATAATATGCTAAAAAGGAAGAAGTACATACATACAAAAACGACTCATATTGCTCCCAATCTACTAACGAGAACTTAGCGCATATTATACCTCTACATATAAAATCTGTAAATGTAATTCAGTAGAGTAAGCTAAAAAACCAAGCAAATCACATCACTGATATTGTGAAATCCTTCCCAGAGATACATAATCATATGAAAAATTCTGGGATTCATCAACGAAATAAATCATAAGATATCAGAGAAGTATGAAAATAGTTTTTACCGTTTTATGTTATTTCAAGAAGGTAGAAAGACAATTGAAATACTAAACAAGATGGCGAGAAGACCAATAAAAACACAAAAACCTTTAACACAAAAATTTCACTCCCATACATAAAAAACGACCTTCAATATAATCCGTACCCAATAAATCTGTATCTAGGTAACAATGAGAACAGATCCAATCGCAATGTATCCCAAATGTCGCAAGCCTTAAGGCCGTATGAAATGTTACGCGGTCGACGGTGGCCAGATGGATCATTACATCCGAACGAGTTGCGCAAACGCACCTAATTGTAGATATTTGCATTTTGTATTTAATCCGTGCTATAAGTGTTCTGGTTCTAGTTGATTGGGTTTCGTATGTTATGTTTGTTTCTAATAGTTGTTTGTTTGTTACTGTGGTTTTTGTCTGGGTGGTTAGTTAACACATTAAACGCCATGGGGGTCACCGATGACCGACATGATTTACCTTCAATAGTTTTCATTAGCAGTCAAAGCCTTAAATATGTTTTTTTTACCGCCGTAACCCGCTGCAACTCTTGTAAGCCAGGATCAGGATACAGTATATAAAACCATCAAAGCCAACCCGCATGAGCAAGTGTGGTGATCAATGCTCTAACCTTCTCTATGTGAGAAGAGGCTTTGCTCAGCAGTGGGCATTTATAGGTTGTTGTTGTTGATGATGATGATGATGATGATGAAAACCATGAAAACACCGCACACTGAAGTCCGGCGCGTATCAGTGACCTGAATAATTGTTTTGGTTCCCGCAACGGAATTAATCTGAAGATATTATATAAGGTTAAGATAAAAAGATAGTTAAGTATGTTTGTGAAGATAGAGGTTTTAGGGTAGATTCTAGATGTGGACAAAGACTAAATAAATAAGTTTTTTTTCTGTATATTTTTGTGCTCATACGACTCTGTGACTGGTTTAAAACTACTGATGGCAATCGATAACTAATCAGGACTATATCATATTTGTCTGCGAGAATAATGAAATTATCTTTATTTTGGTGGCTATAAGTAATATTCCTAAAATTAGAAATTGTGGATTGAAACAAATAAAAAAACATAACTTGTTACACTTTCGTCTTCTAGTGATTAAACATACGTAGACATTGACATAGTCTTACCTACATTCTTATCTATCTACCCAGATTCATCAACCACAAAATTTCCACAAACTAATTCAATAATTATAATAATATACTATGTACACTATCTTAGTTTACGAAAATAGGTTTCCCTCCTCATTCGAGTCTACATTTACTTTGCACTTAGTTTTGTCAAACAAACTTCATATTTCACAGCGCAGGGTAAGTTCGCCTATTCATGTCCACCCACCAAACTTCGCCTGTTCGCTCCATTACTTGTTCGCCTCTATTTTACAGATCCCCATGAATGTAAGATATGAAAACGTGTAAGATTAAATAGATCAGATCTCAGTACTAAAGACTACTAATAATTATGATGGCAGTTTTCTACTACCACATTGTACTCTTTTTTACCACCATTTTCTGGCACGTCTTAACCATAACATATAGACGCGAACTGGTGGGTGGACGCGAAAGGCGAACTTACCCTACGCAGTGAGTTATAATTAACAAACGTATTGTGTAACTTGTTTGTTTGTTTCTAGAAAGTGTTTTGTGACTCATGTAGTTAAGCAATTCATTTTCATCAACGTAGATACAGGACACTTCAATATAAATTGTATGATACCATTGTCACATCTCTTGTATTCCTGAAGAAGGATAGAGGAGTGAGAAGGAGAAAATTGGGTGAATCTTTTATATTAAACTAGCTACGCGCAATCCCGTTTCTCCCATTCCCGTAGGAGTTACAGGACTTTTTTCTGTACCTTTTTTCTGTTGAACCTTCTCCCGACGATAACAAACACAACAAAAAAAAAATCAGCCACATCGGTCTAGCCCTTCTCAAGTTATGGCGTGACAACGGGAAATGGGTTTCATTTTTATATATGTAGAAAATTTTGCGAGATCTTTTTTTTTTAAGGGGGGAAAATCATCAAATGACTGCTCCCGCCTGGGTGGGGCGGGAGGGAGTGTCAGACTCTTACTGACTAAAAACCACCCCGTTCCTTCTCCTGCACGTCGAGCCGGTGCCCCGGTAACCCGTTAGGTTCTCCACGACTCCGAATCGGCATCGGCCCTGTTGGGCCCCATCTCCTGAAGAAGGATAGAGGAGTGAGAAGGAGAAAATTGGGTGAATCTTTTATATTAAACTAGCTCCTGCCCACGACTTCGTACGCGCAATCCCGTTTCTCCCATTCCCGTAGGAGTTGCAGGACTTTTTTCTGTCATAACAACCTTTTCCTGACGATAGCAAACTCAACAAAAAAAAATGTAAAAAATACGGCTATAATAAATCGTTTAAGTTCGACAGTATTTCAGAATAAGCGACAGCAATATATCTTATTGGAGTTTTATGGAATTAGAAATAATATAAATTACGTGTTTGAGTTTGTGTGTGTTAAGCCGCGTTATAAAGCTAGTTACAAGACGGCGGCGTGTAGTTCGCACTTACGGATTTCCGTAATTTACAGAAAAATGAAAAATATTTACCTTCATTATTTTTTATTGATTCAGACTCAGAATCGATAGCCGAGTTACCTCCTAGAAAATGACGCGGCTTTAAAACAACACCTTGTATAGTATAATGAATTTTAGAGTCAAAACACGATACTCATAATACAAGAGACAATGTTTTTTTTAAAAAAGAAGCACCGGCATTGGTATTGACCAACATTTCAATAAAGTCTAATTTTCCTCCTTTGAAAACAGAAGCCGTAATCATACGTTTAGAATACGGTACGACATCACGATGTTTATGTAGCAAATGATTTACGTACAAAACACAGCCCTTTAGTCCGGATGTTGTATGATATATTATAACAGGTAATTTATACCTGTTATCAATCTGCTACATATATTATATTGTGCGTAAACACATTCCGGTAGTACCTACACCGGTAGCGGTAGTACGGTTAAATGAAATCGGATTTTTGTTGTTTGTGAATGAGTATTTTTACGTAACTTTGAACAGGTATCGTACGTAATATATTTTTATAGTAATTTAATTGTCACTACATACATACATACATATTATATCAACAGCCTATAAATAAATGCCCACTGCTGAGCAATGTCTCTTCTCACACGGAAAAGGTTTGATTTTTAATTCGAACCACGCTTTGTCATTGCGGGTTGACAATTTCAAACTTATAGTTAGAAATTGTAAGCTCAGGTTTCCTCGCGATGTTTTCATTCACTGTTTGTCAGCAATGTCTAAATAATCTTAGAAAGTACATGTAACTTGGAAAAAGTCACATTGGTACTTGTCGTTTGTAGGTTTCGAACCCTCACTCTCATGCATGAGAAGGTTAAGACCCACCTCCGGGCCAACACACTTTTCTTAGTTAATTGAGTTAAAAATAAAGCATTCATAAATTAGATTTTTATAAGTATTTATTTTAATTCCTAGCAAAACAATTTTTATTTTACAAAATAATCAACTACAACATAATAATTTATTTTACTTAATATTAGTAATACTGTGTGATTACTTATAAAAGTAAACAATAGTTTAAATTAATGCTTATAATTAAAAGGTACATTTGCAACAATTTATAAAAGCATAAATATTTACAAAACCTTTTTTTATGTACAAAGGCACTTAAATAAAATATATTAATCGTGTAACCAAACAAATAAACATTTTATATAAATAAAAGAAACACTAAATTAAAAATAAACAGAAACCTTACGAATGCTTAGACCAATTAGTTGATTCTACTTAGCGATTATACAGAAGTTAAATTCTGAGAGACTAATACTGAGAAAAGCTCTACTAGTTTCGACCGACAGAGGGGTTCGTCCTCATTAGCAACGTGCGCGGTCGCGGCGCCGTCGCGCAGCTTTTCTCAGTATATTCACGTGAGTAACCCGCGATTTTAGTTAATTTAGCATGTCTCACGATAGTTATTACAAAAAGATAGTATAATGGTAATTGGTTAAAAACGTCTGTGATTTTGCTAAAAACCTGAACTTCTTTATTATTAATACAAACAAAAACAGACTCTGTTTAAATTATAGAAATATAAGACTTTGTGCCTTTAAAAGCATTTACTCTTTGGTTTAAACCTTCTTTGGCAGATCACCAGCTGTCGCTTCTTGGAGGTGGGGCAGGTGGCCTGAAAATAAGGTGTAAATAGCTCTTGAACTTTAAGAAAGTTTTATTTATTCAGAAAACATGCATAGGTCTTGCTTTGATTATATAATGTATATATAGAGCGTTACCATACAATAGCAATAAAAATGACGTTCCAAAATTTCTTACATGTGTGCGTGGAGCATATGGTTTACATGGATCAAAATGATACCAGTCACGGCAAAAATTATCCCATAAATATTTGGGTACATGTACCAGACCATTTTGAAGTAAAATTTTTGTTTTTTTTTTTATGGCATAAGCCGGTAAACGAGGGTACAGATCACCTGATGGTAAGCAATCGGCGTTTCCCATGGACACATGGAACATCAGAGGCGTTACAAGTGCGTTACCGGCCTTTTGGGGATTAGGAGTTTGAGGATCGTTAGGGATTCAGGTATTGGGGAGATTGGGGAAGAGAAGGGTAATTGGGCCACCGGTCACACGACGAAACACAACTCAAGCGTTGCTTCACGTCGGTTTTTTGTAAGGCCGTATCACTCCAGTCGAGCCGGCCCATTCGTGCCGTAGCATGACTCTCCCACACTTTCTTTGTACCGCTTTTCGTGAACTGACACTCCATCTAAACATTATATAATCAAAGAGGTCTTGCTTATTTATGACTTATTATGTTTACTAACATACTATATTTTTAACACTTACATAGCGTGACGGGACTCTAATCATAGGCAAACTACTAACCCAGGAGTATTCCAGTTGCTACCGTCACATAGGGCAGTGGTTGGAGTTTCTTGTTGTCTAAAAGAAGAACGAAGTCTAAAATTAGTGAAAAATAGGACAAAAGAACCCTTAGAAGGTTAAAATCAAAGTATTTATTTCAAAACGGTAGTTGACGACTAGTCAAATTCAATACTTTTATCGAAACGTCAAAAACGATACTATTCTATGAATTTTGTACGAAATACCATCTTATGATGTCATCTTATTTTCGCGTCAAATAGCAAATTTATATCTAAAAATAATGCTAGAATAAATCGACAACTAAGTATATCGGCAAATCAATGAATGAAAGTGTAACTATTTTTCAATAACTATGTGACTGAAAAATCACTACCCAGGAAACTACTCAATTAAACCATAATTTGGTACTTTTGAAACGTAAACAAATACAAAATAAATAGAAAAGTAAGTGTCATCTTTTGTAAAGTCTAGGTCTCGACAAGGTGTCTAGACTGTACTTATACAAATTGTTTATTGCTTTACATGCTATCGATTTTGTACAGATAAATGTTAGAATATAAAAAACATAAACGATATGAATACACGATAGTTATGTGTTTTCATTCAAACAAAATATAATTTACATGTCTGTCACTACTAAAGCAACACAACATAAATAACTCTGAATGGTCGGTTGTTAGTAAAACTTGTACTAACCCGGAGCCCAAGTTAGCAAGCGTCATAGCTTCGTGTGCCCTAATTTTCCTTCCGTACGACCGCCAAAGTTTCACACAAAGTGGTGTTAGTGCGGCACACCATGAAATCCCGAGGAAAAATCCGCAAACCCACCAACCGTGCTGAAAATTATGAACAAGTTATAATGGCTAACTGAGTCTTTGGTGGAGTGGCTGTAAGAGATTATCGAGCAAGGGGTCTTAGATTCGATTTAAAGGAAGTAAGAAAGGAAGAAAGGAGGAAAGAAAGAAAGAAAGAAAGAACGAAAGAAAAACCATTTATTTGATTGATGTGGCTTTTGAAAATTCTCAGTAATATCACGGAGTCTGTAATCGTATAGGAAAATTTTACGTTGATCTAAGGGTAATTGAGATTTTGCGTTACGTAGCTTATGTGTTAAAATAAACAAAATATTAAAATGTGGTCTACTAAACTAATTTCTGTGTTAAAGAGATAAATTTTTAACAATGTCTTATTTTGTTTATTTGATTTGGGCTTGACTTCTGGAAGGGTATACGTCAAGGGTTTGATATATTATAAACAGGATCTAATGTAACTAAAATTGTCATAAACTATAGTGCACTTTACTTACCAAAGACGAAACGTATTGGGAACACAGCAGAGACCTAGCAGCTGCGTACACAGAATACAAAGGTTTACACCGAGCAGCGTGCTTACTGGTCGAAATAAGTACGTGTGTTCTCCAGCCAGCTGCATGGGAGACTAGGCGGGATATGTAGATTGATACTTTCTGTAACATTATAAATAAATTTACTGACAATCGTGGATTTCATTTTCATACTCACTTAAATATATTGAGAAAAACTCTACTAGTTTCGAGCTACAGAGGGGCTCTTCCTTTTGAGCAGCGTGCGCGGTCGCTGGCTGCTGGCTCGAAACTAGTAGAGCTTTTTTCAGTATATTCACGTGAGTAACCCGGGATTAAGTTAATTAAAAATAAAGATAAAAAATATAAATGATTTTTTAAGCCTTTGAGTACCGTCATTATAGACACAATTCAATAACAATAGGTTGCGGTCACCAGTGATCTTGCGGTGTTTGACAGTTTAATTAATTCCTAATGAATGTTGTAATGTGATAAAGTTAAACAATTACTTGTTTTTGGGAGAGTGCAAATATTCCCAATTATCATATTACTTAAACGCCAAAAGACATTTTTCCTAATCCATAGATAGCCAAAGAATTTAAAAAAATTTTAAATGCAGATTTGTAGTTTTACTTTACGTAGAATGGAGACGTTATTTGCAAATTGATAACAGTTGTGTTGATGACAGCCATCTTAATTTTAACCGTCGTTAAAAAAAATTAAGTTCATTATTTAGAATCTGTTTTAACTTACTTTCTGAGCGATAACATCACCCTGGTTATCGATATAAAACTGCGCAGTATGGATGTGACTTAGAGAAATGTTAAGTTTTCTTCTAAACGGTGACAATTGAAGTTCTAATTCTGTCAGTTTGAATACCACATCAGCTCGAAGCTGTTCCAGTGGTTTGATGTTTGTTAGGTATAGCCTCTGTGTTCGTGTCGCTGTAAAGATATTGTTATATATTTAATTCTTGACTTAAAAATTATGTGCTAGGAATTACAAGAATGATTAATCTGTAAATGACAATGATTAGACAGGTAAAAACTGGGATAAATCAGCTAAATATTTATTAATAATAGTAATTGTAAGAACGTGTATCAAAAAAATAAATAATTACTATGTCTGGTATTAAACCCATATTACATGGGACTCGTAACATAAATAGTGAAAAGTGGGTGTTACATTATAGGTACAGTGGCATTAAGTGCCGTAAAGTGCACCTCTGCCTAACCCTTTGGGGATAAAAGGCAAGCTGTTATGTTACGTTTTAGTATTGCAATGTAAAATGAAAGAATCGTACCTAAGGTTTCTAGTCTCCCTGCAGTAGTAAGATCTGTAACTTGAGCTGCTATGTTTTCCAGTTGATCCACGAGAGACGGTAAGTCCTTACTAACGACTGGGACGTTGTAGTCCATTCTAGAATAATAAACATGTTAAAGGCGGGATGAGAATTATGTGCATAGTATAAAGATGATCATAACAAATTATTATGTTTTCGGCTTACTCACGTAGTAATTAGACGGGTCGCGCAATGCTGCTCATGAATATGAGGCTTTAGCATGGCTTGAAACTAGTCGAGTTCCTCGTCTAATTACTACGTGAGTAAGCCGAAAACATTATAATTTATTTAGTATGTCTCACGAAAGTTACAATGATCATAACATTCACTTATGATTACATTTTTCTTGATGTACTGCAATTTATTTACTTAATTATCCAATTGCTAGACTTCGAATATTCCAATGCTATAAGATGATATTTTTAGGGTAAACTGAGCCCTATGGACATTATCTCAAAAATTTATTCCACATGCAATAGGTAACAAGGGATAAAATCCTGTTGATATTAAAGTGGCTTACCCCTTATTACATACTTTATACATTAGTGGGTGTTACATTGTACAGTGGCATTAAGTGCTGTAATGTGCACTTCTGCCTATCCCATCGGAGATAAAAGGCGTGATGTTATGTTATATTAGAAAACTTCAGAGTAAAATTTTCTAATAGGAAATGTATCTTTAAATTAAAGCTAAATGCTTACCTATATTTAGCGATATCCACATCAGAAACAATAAGCATTTCATGCAATAATCGACTGAAATTAACAGATATAGTCTTCAAAAGACCAACATCTATTGAAGAAGCCAATTTCCCGAAGTCAGTTTGTAGTTCTTGCCACTCAAAATATGACGTTTCTTTATTCACGTCTAATATTTTGTCCAGTTGGAAAACAGAGTACGCTGGTCTGTCTTTTTCACAGTCCCTGAAAGAGGTTTTGTTTCAATTAATGTATACCAGTATTGACTATCTTCAACTCGCTTGCCATGTGCGGACAATGGGTGACTTGCAAGTCGACGTATTCCTTTTGGGAGCATTCAATACATAATTAAATGTTTTTAGGTAGCTAATAAATCAAGGAAGTTTTTATAATAGTTTGTACGCTTAGGGCCTGTTTTTCAATCATTAGTTAAGTCAAGTGTGGGAGAGCCATGCTTCGGCACGAATGGGCCGGCTCGACTGGAGTGATACCACGGCCTCACAGAAAACCAACATGAAGCAATGCTTGCGTTGTGTTTCGTCGTGTGAGTGAGGTTACCGGAGGTCCAATTTCCCTCCCCTTCCCCAATCTCCCCAATTCCTGAATCCCCAACGATTCTCAAACTCCTAATCCCCAAAAGGCCGGTAACGCACTTTTAACGCCTCTGGTGTTCCAGGTGCCCATGGGCGACGCCGATTGCTTACCATCAGGTGATCCGTCTGCTCGTTTACCGGCTTATGCCATAAAAAATTCTTAACTGTACAATAAAATTGACATTTGACAGTTATTAGTATGGAAGAATAGTCAAATATTCAAAGTTATTTCTCAGTTAAAATTTATCCGAGAATTGAAAAATTGGCCCCTAGTGTATTATCAATTTTTTAAGCTAAATGCAATTTTCTATTGGCCAAATTAGTGATTCAAAACAAAAGATACTAATTTATATGCTATTTTAAAACGAATGATATTTCTGCCATTATTAGTATCATTGGGAATATTTGCACGCTTCCAAAAACAAGTAATTGTTTAACATTATCACATTACAACATTCATTACGATTTAAATAAAATGTCAAACACCGCGAGGACACTGGTGACCGCAACCTATTGTTCTTTAATTGTGTCTATAATGACGGTACTCAAAGGGTTAATTAATGTTTATTGATTGATGATAACAAATTAAAACTAAAATCACTTAGATTAAACTGGTAGTTTCTTATTTATTGATGTTTTTGTAGATGTTGAATATCTCAGAAACTAGCCACTTTCGGACCAGAAACCTCAGGGCTAATTTCGTAGGAAATTAGTTGTATTATCACCTCCCGAGAGGAATACGTCGAGTTACAAGTCACCCTGTATAGTAAATGGTCGTAAGTAGAAGAGGCATATCGTATACCAGTGGACTATCACAACCTGTTGACAATTATACCTTATTGTTATCACTTAGTGATACCGTGGTGTTATGTTGTTAATATGAAATTACCTCAACACATCCTTAACTGACACGTCAATAGTTATGTTATCCATTTCTCTGAACATGGCGTCAAAAATCCCCTCATTGTTTGCCAAAAGTGGTGATGGTCTATCCAGTAGAGCAGTAAGCGTTTCGTATTGCGAGTCCCATAGGGCATGGCATACGTAGACCTGGAACAAATCATGATGAGTTTGTGATAGTAATAATATTCTAGACTGGAGTTCTTTTAGTACAATAAACTGGACTTTGATTGTAGCTTTCTTGATATGTGTTTGTAGAAACTTTTGTTTTACTTTCTTGTATCAATATGGCATCATTCTATTTTTATTTTTACATCACTTGTCAATACTGTCAATATTATAATTATTCGTTAAAGGTGTGGGTACCAGCCGAAAACAAATTGTGGGCAAATTTTAGAATTTATGTTCAACTCACTGCAATAAATATCTTTGTTTTTTTATAGCATAAGCCGGTAAACCAGCAGACGAATCACCTGATGGTAAGCAATCGGCGCCGCCCATGGACACTCGAAACACCAAGGCGTTACAAGTGCGTTACCGGCCTTTTGGGAATTGGGAATTTGAGGATTGTGGAGGATTCGGGGATTCCGTAGACGGGGACTAGGGAGGGGGTAATTGGGCCTCCGGTAACCTCACTCACACGACGAAACACAACGCTTGCGTTGTTTCACGTCGGTTTTCTGTGAGGCCGTGGTATCACTCCCGTCGAGCCGGCCCATTCGTGCCGAAGCATGGCTCTCCCACACTTGTACTGCTAATTAAGTAGCAACTAGCAAAGCACACAAATCAAAAGTTTCGCCAAAATCTTTACATTCCATCTAGAATTAATTAACTGAGTGCACAACCATAATAATATGCGCTAACTTACGGGCAACTTCATGAACTTCACTTGGAACAGCATACGTAAATAATATTATAGATGAACTTAGCTCTAAGTTAACAGTAATGCACATACAATTAGCTCACTTACTGTGTTACGAACGCCTTCATATAAATACTTAGCAATACACATGAAAGTGATTTTTAAAATTCGAAGAGCAAGGACCTTTCATAAGAATTTTTCTACTTGGATTATTGTGTGTAATTGGACATTGCCATATTGTTTTAGAACTTACTTCTGCATGACCAGCTATTAGGAAAACTGCTGATACAATTCCCCATAGCATTAGAGAGGCGAGGCATAACCAGATAGCTGATCTGGAATTTAGCAGATTGTTGTTTTCTTGATTACTTATGTTATATCAATCCCAGAAAATTAAATTACTGTGTATGTCACTATGTTACAAGTTACTCTATGGTATTTCATAACGATGCCATTATAGTTAATTAAGTATTTGTTAACAAAACAAATTCAAAACTTTTTTCGAACTGTCAAAAACGACAGATTTCTATTAATTTTGTAAGAGATTGTTTATTGTGACGTCACGTTTTTTTAGCGTCAAACAGCATACTTATTACTTAAAAATTTGCTGGTTGAATATTCAAATTAAGTTGGACACTTTTTTTAATATTTTATTGTATTAATTAGTCGAAATAATTTATTTTTGACTAAAGAAAATACCCAACTATCCTCCACAATTTCCAATACTCACACTTTCAAAGTCCTTCTAGCATGATTCTTGGCGTGACCACATCCGCAAAGCATGCCCAAAATTATAAGCATCATGACGAATCCAAAAGTAACGATACAAGCTGAAAAGTATAAGATTTTTAATTTCAGAACATTAAATATTCTGTGGTATAAAATGGAGCAATTATTAAATTGTAAAAAAACCGGATATCAAACATTTTGCCCACATTTATACCATTTTGTTAGTTTACACAAAAACCTATCTTATTCCTCACAAAACAAGTCTCAAAGTTTAAACTTTACCTAACATAAGTGTCCACCTCGCGAACTCATATCTTTGTACTCTCTCGAGACTTGATTCCAGTTGTCTTGCAATAGTATGGAGACCTGACGTCAGATGGCGCACTATGTCGCTAAGGACCTTAGCAGAAATATGCACCGCTTGTCTTCGGTTTTCGATGTCTCGGAGAATATCTGAGGAAATGAAGATAGTGAGCATTGTTTTACGTACCTATGTAAATAAGTGAAAGAATAAGATCTTTTTACAATTTGACACTGAAATATAATTAGAATACAAGGACGTCTATATAATTATACTCATAGAAAAATAAACCTGGATTTTTGGCTAAATATGCACGGCCGAGTGGTAGCAAGTGTAACCGCTGGGCAAGGGGTCTCGGGTTCGATTCCTGGGTCGTGCAAAGTTTTACTAGAGTCTGGATTAATGCTCGGTATACCTACTCACTCCCTATTACATGGGTCTCCTAACATAAATAGTGAAAGTGGGTGTTACATTGTACAGTGGCATAATGTGCATCTCTGCCTACCCCTTCGGGGGTATTAAGGCGTAATGTTATATGCTATATGTACACATCAACCGAACGGTATAATACCAAGGGTCTTTTCGCCAACAGTAAAATACAGTAGGTCCTAGAGAACAACTTCGAAATTTAAAAAGTTAACTTTAAGCTAAGTATAGTGCGCCACTAGTGTTACAGATTAGGGCGGAATGTTTCCAAAACGAATTCAAAAACCAAGAAAATTGGCGGGAAAGCGGAGCGTCTTCGCACACGCTCACTCACTCAGCATTTCAGCGGCGACTGTTGGCGGAAGCGCGGGGCCGACGGGGCCCGCTCGAGGGAGGCGTGGGCGGGGAATTCGAATTTTGAATTTTAGCGCGAACGCGAATTCCCTACGTTACCACCATTTTTCTTACAACGCTACAAAGGAGGTTTTTAACATAAGAGTTGCTTACAATTAGACTATAATTATCTTATACTATTATACTACCTCTATTATATAAAGCGGAAGAGTTTGTTTTTTTGTTTGTTTGTTTGAACGCGCTAATATCCGTAACTACAAGTCTGATTTGAATAATTCTTTTTGTGTTGGATAGCGCATTTATCGAGGTTGGCTATAGGCTATAAAATATCACGCTATGACCAATAGGAGCTGAGCAGGGCGAGTGAAACCGCGCGGAAGTAGCTAGTCTGTAATATTTGTAAAGATCAATGATAAAGATTGATATTGGTATTAATGATAAAGAAGCAAGAAGATTATTTAACTCAACAGCACACATAACATAATCTCATTATAATAAAGTGTTCATGTTTACCTTCCCGGACTTGTGTGGTTTGTGCCAGTATGGCCGACGGCAAAGTTTTGAACTCTTGCCTGCAGTAGATATCGCTCGTGTTAAATTCTCCACCCCTAGAGTACGGAGTTCCAATAACTGCTGCTCGTGTAGTATCTGAAATATTACATTTGATCTGTTTTACTTACATACCTTTCTACTTGGAATGTTAACTTAGAGTTGTTTATTTTTTTTAATGGGATAATCCGGTAAACGAGGAGACGAATAAGCAATCCACGTCACCCATGGATCCTGGAACACTAGAGGCGTTACAAAGTCAATGTCAAAGTCAAAGCCAAAGACAAAGACAAAGCCAAAGCCAAAGCCAAAGCCAAAGCCAAAGCCAAAGTCAAAGTCAAAGTCAAAGTAAAAGCCAAAGTCAAAGTCAATATCATTTATTTTAATTAGACCAGAAAGGCACTTTTTAACGTCAACAAAACGTTACAAGTGCGATATCGGCCTTATTACCTATTTTTAGGTATTTAAAAAAATAAAATGTTTTAAATAATCTGTACATTTTTGTTATTTTTATTCCACCTTTGTCTTGTTATATTAGACACTCCTTTTTCTATGTAAGTGTTTAGTGCCATATTCAAACTCACCAATCTGTATGCCAGGTGTGGTGATTATGATTTAGTGCAAAAATGACCTTCGTTCAGTTAGAGGAGGCACAATAGGCACACATTCCAAAGAAGACCGTCACGGTCTCTTGATGATGACATAAAGGGGCGGTTAATTAGAACGTAACAGATACAATTCTTCTTACCAAATCAAACTTCATTTTTAATTCAATAGAATGAGTATTAATAGTGTCGCATAATGGAGTGTCCTTCAGAGTGCAGTGTTTCTTCAAGTTCTCGAGCTGACGAGCCAAGTCCTTGATCCTGTCTGATGCTGCAGACGCTAGGGAACCAGCCTTGATGCTAACGTCGCGCAAAGAAGATATTTTTGAGGAAAGATCTTCGCTTTCTGCAAATTAGATTTGAAAATTACCATAAAATTCGATGCAAATAAAACTTTATCTCTGAATATGATCCTTATCTTGAACTATTACACTAATATACAAGTAATTTTTTTTGGCTTTCATTATTGTCAAGGCAAACCTAAGGTTTCAATGAAAAAAATGGACAAAGTCAAATGAATTATTATGTTTTCGGCTTGTAACAGTTTTAGTAGCAGCGCGACAGTCGCCGCGTCGCGGGTCGCAAAATGCTGCTCATGAAAATGAGCCTTTAGCATGGCTTGAAACTAGTCGAGTTTACGTGAGTTAGCCGAAAACATAATTTTTTAGTATGTCTCACGAAAGTTACAATGCAAAGTCATGTGATAAAAAAAAAGATATAAAAAAAATTGTCGCGCATTTAAATCTTGCTCTATTCCTAGAAATATACTTACTAATTAATCTTACTTAATATTTTATTCGTCTAGTAACTTAATAACAAAGTTGAAGGCGATGTTTTTATTAAAACTTTAAACTTTCGATTAGTCTAACATTCACTAACTGCCAAGAATTTGACACTATAATTAAACGAATGAATTACTCAATAACTCATAACTATCAAAAAATAATACTTAAATTGGAGACTCAGCCTTCGTCTTAAAAGTAGCTAAATCCAACATTAACATACCTGAAATAATATCTGCCAGGGAATCGAACACCAAATCAATACCGCTCTCAGAAGATATCGCTTGCTGAATGGGTTCGCCCAATAGCGATTCAACGTCTGTGAATGAACAACGTAGCCATTAATTCTCGAGTTATCTGACCATTAATTTATAGTTTATCTATATTAATGATGGGATTAGCCCTGTATATCCGTTGGGATAGGTATATTAATATTTTTTGCTAGAAAATTAAGCTGTAATTGGTAAAAAATTAACCTTGAATGAGTATTCAAAGCAAAATGGATTTATCGTGATAAATTATGCTCATCAATTGGAGTTTTACATCAGATATTATTTGTTATGTTGTCCTCCCCAGGCTCACGCCTTGAGTTCCATGAGAATTTCCCACCTTGTGGTAAAAAAGGTGTGGTTCTGAACGATTGTTTTAATAAAAATAGACACCCATATATTAGATTAATGAGGTAATTATAATTGCCCGGTATATGGCAATAGGCACACCCCCTATTACATGGGACTCATAACATAATTAGTGAAAAGTTGGTGTTACATTGTACAGTGGCATTAAGTGCCGAAATGTGCATCTCTACCTACCCCTTCGAGGATAAAAGGCATGATGTTATGTATTATAAACGCGTAATAGAAATTTGTATATCAAATAGACGCGTGCAATAAACCACAATATACTTTTCCTTTTAGGGACTAATGACGTAACTCAAATTTACAGTCAAAGAAATTGAAACCTCCTTTCCTTTGAACTTCGTTTATACAACTGTCAACAATTTGGCACTATTTACCTCCTACGTCGAAAAACAGGTACCGATTTTACACCAATCATAACACCTTTATTAAAAAATTACTAATCTATTTTTCAGCCAGCAAACAAGACCACAGCTCTTCATAATGGATAGGTCGTTAGTTATATAATCAACATAACGTAATAGTTACACAAAAAGAATACGAGATCCCGTCATAATATGGCGGCCATTTTGCGAAAAACTTAATTAACGTGAATAATGTTTAAACAGGGTGCTTTTTAATTGAATGTGCCAGACGATGTGTGTTATATTATGTACGTTTACTTTGAACAAGATGTACGATTATGATGTTATGCCTGAAGGGATAAGCAGAGATGCAGTAGATGTGCAAGCAATTTTCGTCAGTTATTCTGAACTTCGGTAACAATGAGTATGCTTGTGATAATATCGATTAAGCTTCTTTAAACTGTCAAACACCGCGAGGACACCGGTGACCGCAACCTATTGTTCTTTAATTGTGTCTATAATGACGGTACTCACAGGGTTAAATAAGGATATACAATAGCTTTGACGTGCTAGCATTTTAATATGATATTCAAAACTATCAAAGGCTCTTTTAAAGCATTTATTTCAATTAATCCATGATTTGGTACTTTTGGAACGTCAAAAAATACAAAATAAACAATAGTCTGTCAGTTTCTTCGTCAGGGAAGCTAGATGCTCGTTCCAAAATGTAGATTCGAGTGAAGAAGAACGAGTAGGAAACTCCTTTCGTTAGTCTTTTAACAGGTCTGCCACATTAAGGCATTGATAACGCATAGTATGTGCCCTGTAATTATAACATGGATAAATTACGTTTGTATCTCATATATCGTATCAATTTTGCCATAATACGTGCTATTTTATACACATTAATAAAATACAACACCTGACAAAAATGTGGTAAGTTTTATTAATAGAGAAGAGACTATTCAATGAAGCATTCAAGTGTTTTGGATCTCTGTAAGGTACTAAGTGAGTGAAGACTTGAAGAGTAGGTCAATAAAGTTTTGTAATTATTGTTTGTATTGTACAGTACACTACACAAGGAGTCCTTTATCCGAAGTACCTTTGAGTGTCTCATAGGCGCCATTATGACAGTGTTATTTAAGCAAATCAAACAAAATTAGCATAATTTATATCTTTGCATGGGTTTTATTGTTCTCTTTAAGATGTGTTTGAATATATTTTAATTTATTGCCTCGTTGGCCGAGTGGTCGCAATTGCGACTGCCGAGCAAGGGGTCTCGGGTTCGATTCCCGGGTCGGGCAAAGTATTACTGGGTTTTAAAAAAATTCTCAGTAGTAGCACGGAGTCTGGAACTGTGCCCGGTATATGGCAATAGGCTCACCCCCTATTACATGGGACTCATAACATAAATAGTGAAAAGTTGGTGTTACATTGTACAGTGGTATAATGTGCACCTCTGCCTACCCCTTTGAGGATAAAAGGCGTGATGTTATGTTATTTTAATTTTTGCAAATTGTTTTATGTGTGTGTAAAGTGATTCACACATCATAAAAAGTATTTGACTAGAAACTATGAGTGTTTACTTTGCTACATTTTTTATCATGTGACAGAGAGCTAGTACTTACAAGTTCAGTGTTCAATGATAGATCAGTACTATTATGATAATTAGGACAACTATTCCGGAGAGTAATATTATCCTTTTAATAATTAAATTTTTCAAAACACATGATATTTATGATGTACAGCTAAGAAACTGCTCTTAACTCGTCGAGTACCGGTTTTATAGCCACAATTAAAGAACAATAGGTCGCGGTCACCGGTGACCGCTTGGTATTTGACAGTTTAATCTTACCTCTATAACTTCGAAGTCGCGGAGAACCTAACGGGTAACCGGTGCTCCGGCTCGACGTGAAGGAGAAGGAACGGGGTGGCTTTTAGTCAGTAAGAGTCTGACACTCCCTCCCGCCTCACCCAGGCGGGAGAAGTCATTCGATGATTTTCCCCCTTAAAAAAAAATCTTATAACTTACTTTTCAAATCTTCCTTATAGGCATGAAGTACTAAGTCCACTGGAGGTACAAGACTGTGGTGCAACTCTCGCGCAGCGGCCGACAGCCAGGACGCAATGTCGGCGCATGCGCAACTGACTACATTGCGTCCGTCAGATGCGGCTAAACGAGCTTGCTCGTTGCTTACTGCCATCCCTGATATTAGGACGCTGAAAAATTATGTCATTGTTGTAATTAATAGCTTGTCAATAAAGGGTAAGGCAGTTATTGGATATATTGATTAAGAAATTTTTCAATGTCATTAATTTCATTTTAGGGTAAGGACGACTCGAGCCGTCATTATTATCTGTTGTATTTGCGATCATTTAACCAGCGCAGCGAAAAATTGGGTACTTTCCTTAATCAAAAATTAATTATTTCGACTGTTCAATATAATACGATATTAAAAAATAATCACACTTTCATTATTTCATTTTATGACCAACTTAATTTTAGTATTTTCCAGCAAATTTTTAAGAAAAAGTGCGCTGTTTGACGCTAAGAAAACGTGACGTCACAATACACAATCTCGTACAAAATTCATAAAAAACTGTAGTTTTTGACATTTTGAAAAAAGTATTGAATTTGAGACAATTTGAAACGTTTGAGACAATTTTATTCAAAGGCAGAATTTCTATTTTTTATTCCATTTTAAAACAACAACGATAATAATAATCAAAGTAATAGACATAGAACACTATCACAAAATCCACTAAGAAATATGTAGGTACGCTGTTTGTCGCTAAAAAAAACGTGACGTCACAATCTGGTACAAAATTCATAGAAAACTGTCGTTTTTGACAGTTGGCAAGTACAGTATTAGCCTTCTTTAGATAATTTATTTTTTACTCCTACGTTTGAGGCAATTTTACTCAAAGGCAGAATTTCTATTTTTTATTCCATTTTAAAACAACACCGATAATAATAATCAAAGTACATAGAACACTATCACAAAATCCACTACACCTTTTTTTTTTTTTGAGGGGGGAAAGTCATCCAATGACTTCTCCCGCCTGTGTGAGGCGGGAGGGAGTGTCAGACTCTTACTGACTAAAAACCACCCCGTTCCTACACCTGCACTTAGAACCGGAGCCCCGGCAACCCGTTAAGTCTTCCGCGGCTCCGTATCGGAGAAAATCCACTACACCTACTATTCAAATAAATCAAATCAAATTAAACTAATTTAAACTTACTAGAAGTTGGGAATTACTCTAATTACTCTCGAAGTTCCTTTACTAGTTGAAATTCACAGTTCAATGGAACGAAATAGAACCTTGGATCGGCAACTTTTTGTACTATTTGCTCGTTATGTCAAGTTGCCTTTTTAATGAGCGTTGACGAGCGTCGGGGACGAAAGGAATTGGGTGTTGTAGCGCCACTTGTACCTATTAAATTTTAATGGGGAGAATATTATTCACACTATTGGAGTAGTACCTGATTAATGCTATTTAATTATTGCTTTACTATTTTTTTTCTTGATATTATAAGTCTAAGATTACTTGGTCCTTTAATGCTCTCTTTTTCACCTTTAAAACATATTGTGAAGTGTATCCATCTTTAACACACCTTGTGAAGCTTAAATAAAAAAAATGGTGCATAATTAGGTATTATGTCTGATTCGAATGGAATAACTTATGCTGTGATGTACTCATATTTAATAGTTCAATTTAATGGAATATATTTCCACAAATCCAAAGCCTTTGCTCGTTTCCTTTATTTGACATCAAAGCCAATCAGTCAAAATCCAAATATTTGTTGAATTAAATAATGTTCACGCACACACACGAGACTAGCCTCGATTTAAATCGCCGCTAGTTCTCAAGTTGATTAATCAAGTACCAACTAATAAGTATGGCCTTCAAAGATTCACCAGTTTCCTATCAAAAAGGCCAGGATACACTGTCGGCGTTTAATTTAACTTTCGAGAACTTTCTTACGCATTGCAAGAGCCGGGAGGCTGGAAGTTTGTAAGAACATTTTCACTAAGTAGGTATGTTTGGAAATTAATTAGGTAACTCGCGGTCGGGACGTGTGTAAACATCGGGACCGAATAAATTAGTTTTTAATTTATTTAAACACGATTTTAAGGAGTTGTTTATTAGGCGTTTAATGAGTTTACTTGTTTGTTCAAACACGGTAGTATAAATGGTTGTGGAAATTTTGTTTAAAAGTGACTCACGTTTTGTTTTTTGGAAGTTATGATGAATGTTTACCTGGTAAAGTGGCTATTAATAGGGTTCAATTCATTTTGATTATGTGGTGTGAAACAGTTCTTAAGATAGTTCATTTTGATTGAAAGTATTTTATTAATTTTACCTACTCTAACGACCTAAAATATACCATGGTTCTTGAAATTACATTAAAATGCGATATTTTTGGTCATAAATAAAAGTTAATCTAAATATTTCGCAATTCCACGAAGTGTTGATAGGGGATTAAGGAGCAAGATAACAGAGAACCATATTTTAAGTTTATCTATTACGTAAAATAACTAAATGAAAATCTGTTCCGCCAATATTCTGGTATCTCGTACCAAGGGAAGTACGAAAGCCTTTGAGAGTTCCTTGAGAAAATACAAGATTAATATCGTACTAACCAGCAGACAAGCACGATGAATAAAGTCACAACCACCAACGCTCTGTCATTGCAATCCGAGTTCTCAGCTTCAGGGAATAAAGCTCCAGTTTCCAGTTCATCCTCATACCTGGACCTTGAAAATAAGGATAGAATTCCCAAGATGAGGAGGTACGCAGGTATTACCAGGGCGATGCAGGCAAACGCGATGATAAATGCCAGGAACGTTGATTCAACTTTTATTGACTGAAACAAAAAACAATTATGTCAAGAAGAGGAAAATAGCACTCGGTCTGATTACTTGATTAATTGTTTTAAGATTTTTGATTTTTCTTGGCTACAGGACATACAAGCGTCTGTAAGTGCAAGTACTGCCTCTGCTCTCTACGATTTTCAAGTTCCGAAATTACTGGTTTTTAAGTTTTCAAAGTTTTTTTTTATATTTACATTTATACTTTCATACATAACATACGCCATATCACGCCTTTAACTCGAGACCCCTTGCCCGGCAGTCACACTTGCGACCACTCGGCCAACGAGGCAGTCATACTTATTGTGTATATATTTTTGATCTAGTCTATTAAGAGTATATTTTATAATTAGAGCTTTAATGTAAATACAAATACCTAATAAATATTTATCTTTTCGAATGTACCATGACTCAAGTTGTACCTATGTAGGTATGATAATTTTTATTATAAATAGTTCCTGTTGTGAGCAAGAGTGGATAATTTTAGATTTTATTTCGGAAGTTTTTTGTATTAATTTAATGCTGATAAAATAATTTTACACATGTGTGTATTTAATGTTGTTATTTTAAGTTATAAAGCTTGAGCGTTTATGACGTCATTGGTGACCTTAAGTATGCGAACATGTGGCTTTGGGATTTGGTACAGTACTATTTGTTTTCTGTTGTACAAAAGGGATGATGACAGGGTATGAAAATTAAAAATCTAGTTAGTGTGTAAGTTAGGTAATTAAATAATATTAGACACGTATTTTTACACAATAAAACATTAATTAACTCGTCGAGTACCGGTTTTATAGACACAATTAAAGAACAATAGGTCGCGGTCACCGGTGACCGCTTGGTGTTTGACAGTTTAAATAAAACGAATCAAAGTTTAAGAGTAGGGGCTAAAACGTCATTTCTACATATAAAATGTACATAGAAGTGACGTCACGCGACATTTCAAATCAATATATCGTCGAAACTATTCGTTTCTGTAAGATAACAAAAAATACGTGTCTAATGATTTAAAATCTACCAGACGGACATTAAAATAAAAATTAGGCATGTACCCTATTGCTACTATCAAACTACTTGTAATCTGATCACTTTCATTGAATTTTCAACTTTATATCCAAACAATAAGTGTGTTGGGTTTATGATGTCTATAAAAGCATAGAGCAGTACAAGAATGACGACAATCTAGATAGAAAATGTACCCAATACTTGTCCATACACAGTACCTAATACCTGAATAGGGTTTGCAAACTAAAACAAATTATTAAGTCAAAGAAAACAAAGTACCTCATCAATCAATCAATCATATTGGTCGTATAAGGAAATAAAGCTAAATATGACTAACACGTGAATCGAACACATGATCTCAAGCAGTGACATTTATTTAAAACAACTAGGCTGAACAGAGGCCTAAAAAACCAGTATGAATATAATTCTTCCAATGTCAATCTTACAAGATTATGCAAATTACCTTATATCATACTTGGACAGTTTTTTTTTTTTTTTTTTTTTTTTTAAGGGGGGAAAATCATCGAATGACTGCTCCCGCCCGGGTGAGGCGGAAGGGAGTGTCAGACTCTTACTGACTAAAAACCACCCCGTTCCTTCTCCTGCACGTCGAGCCGGAGCCCCGGTTACCCGTTAGGTTCTCCGCGACTCCGAATCGGCATCGGCCCTATTGGGCCCCATCTGTGGTGGTCTGATGGCTCTTTGAGGCGCGCGCGGAACGCGACGCGCCGTACGCTCGGGTCTGTTTCTGGTCGGACGGGGAGCCACCCATGCTCGCCGTCCGCAGGCCCGCGCTTACGGTGGCCGGAGATCGTCCCGCGATCCCCGACGCCCGGTGTGTCCTTCGCGATGGCTGGGTTGCGAGGAGGCAGCGCTTCGCTGCCTCACGCGTCCCGCCTCCTCCTTAGCCAGCATGACTGCTTCGCAAAAGGAGGAGACGGCATCCCAGTCCCCCTCGCTCCGCATCATGGCCTGAACTAGGCCCGGACGCGAGAGGTCTCCATCGCCGATCACTTCCCTGAGGGCACGGCGGTGCTCAGCCCACGCAGGGCATTCCGCAACAGTGTGTTCCACCGTGTCCTCAGGGTGGTCCTCGCAGTGATGACACCCGGGCGATACTTGGACAGTTGTTTATTGATTACCATAACTTGATTAATTGATGTTCGATAATATCTGTGTTTTGGCAAAACTGAATCTGTTGTAACCTTCGATAATAATGTTGGTTTAACGCTATCTATGGTCAGCTTATGTAAATATTTATTTGTTCTTCATACAAAATTAAAGTGACATAGACAATTTCACGCCTGGCTCCAATGGGGTTAGGCAGAGACTATGGAACGCCAATTGTTACGATTCTTACATACCGCTTCATCAATAGTTATCAATCTTTTCATGCATGCTCGTCGGTTAAAGGTACTTTTAATTTGACCTTTCTTTAATTACAGCGAATGGTATACAATATATATAAAACTGAAGAATTTGTTGGTTTAAACGCAATAATCTCCGGCACTATTTGTCTCATTTGAATCATTATTTTCGTGGATCGAGGAAGGCTATAGACTATAATTTATTACGCTATGACCAATAAGAGCCGAGGAGAACCGAAAACCGCGCGAGAGTAACTAAATTAGATATGTATTAATGTATAGCTATATATATCTATCATACCGAAAATAAATGTTGGTTAATTTTGTTTATCGCATTTTATAAAAGGCCAAGTAAAATCAGGTTGCTTGCTTCTACTGAGCTCGATTATCTGACGGGAACGAATCTGAGACCTTGTACTCAATAGTTATGTTAGTATGATCCATTCCTATTAACGGCAGACACAGTCGCAATTCTAAAGTTCGTGATTTCAGTGAAAATATTTAAATAAAAACTGAATATAAAAAATGAGATGTCCGTTTATACTTTACTTCGAATTTTGTAATTTTAAAGATCGTGAAAGCAATTGAACGAACCACTTTCATTGCAAATGTAAAATAAAGAACGTTTAAAAAAGGCGGACACAGTCTCTTAAAACAACGACTGTGGCACCTGGTTACTATAGACTTACACGCAGAACATACACACATTGACACGAAGGACATCGGTCATTTTCTTAAGTCTAGTACCGTGGTAACCCATTGCACATGCACACATAAATAACCCACTGACAATTTGGTGCCTCAATCATTTCTAAGTGACATTATGTCCGGCTTTTTTTCAACGTCCTTGTGTAAAATTATGTATATTTTCAGAGATAGGAAGTAGCCTTTAAGGCTATTTTTAACCACGGGCTAAAACTGTGCACGGAAATCTAGATAAATAAAAACTTTAATAAAAGCACATACAAAGTTCATTTACAATACAAATCGGATTCAATGTAGCCTTGATTTAATATAATTTAAATGGTGCAACAGGACAGGTCACCTGATTCTGGTTAAGTTGATAAATAATAAGCAACTGAATTAATGAACTGCCTCGTTGGCCGAGTGGTCGCAAGTGCGACTGCCGGGCAAGGGGTCTCGGGTTCGATTCCCGGGTCGGGCAAAGTATTACTGGGTTTTTAAAAATCCCAGTAGTAGCACGGAGTCTGGAAATGTGCCCGGTATATGGCAATAGGCACACCCCCTATTACATGGGACTCATAACATAAATAGTGAAAAGTGGGTGTTACTTCTGTGTGCACCTCTGCCTACCCCTTCGGGGATAAAAAGGCGTGATGTTATGTTATGTGAATTAATGAAGACCAACCGATGATACTACCGATCACTTTGATAACCAAAAAGCTTCGAATAAACTTGACCTCTTATACGCTACCAGCAAGATGCAATTGCGAAAAGAAATGAAGGTACTCAAGAAGTTCAAAATTGTAATGAAATGAGGCAACGTGAGATCGAGATTCATATGCCAGAATGCCAAAAAAAAACTAAGTAAACTCAAAGTAGGTAACATTCAAACTTATTATTCACTAAATAGACGATGTTAGGCACTTCAAGTACTGTTGTACTGTACAGTAGAAAGATGATGTTACCATCCACATTTGCATTGGATTGAAATTAACCGAATTTTGAAATAAGATCCAAGATCCTTTATCATCAAGTTTTAGTTCTTTAGCAACGAAACTATTCTCTTGCATTTGTCAAACTAATAGCAATGCAGCATAATACTAAAGGTACTGTTGCAGATTCTAATTTCAAGTACGGAAGCATGCTTTACGCTTATTTATTTATAGTAGTTTATTTCTGTGGTCCAGATTTAATTCTATACAGGCATAGTATTGTAACCTACCTAGAATAGTTAAATAATAAGCTTAGATTAAGTATATGTGAACAAAATGGAAATAAATATATTTGTTTGTTTGTATTTCCACAAAACGGCACGGATTGACTTCGAAGACAAACATGAAGGCGTTCAACCGCTGATTTCGACGCAGACACCATGGCTTGTCCGCGTTCATTGAGCACTTGCCACTGAGTCGCATGTGTGTCGGAATGTTGCAAAATTAGCATGCTCATTTCGGGTGTGCTTGCAAATCGACAGGCATTCGATTTATCACAATCACGATTTTTTAACCATGCTCAATACTTTAATATGCCTTGTAGCATGGTATTTTTTAACATGGGAAAGAGTACCTTAAGTAATAATACTGATAAATCAACAAGAATAGAGATATAATCGGCGTTAAAAGCTTACGTAATTATGAATGAGCGATGTGTCTTTTCCGGAAGAAAAATGTGCTCTTGTGTTAACGAGAGAAGGAAATCTCCGAGGAATCGTATACTAAATGGGTCTGACATTATATCCTCTATTCTTTTCCCAAAAAAATATTTGCTAAATAGAAAATATTTCTCCTTTATAAGGCCGAAAATATTGTTAGCGAGATTTCGCTCGTGCCTGTATATACTTTAAGATCAATTTTTTTAATCTTTATTTATTTACAGGACTTTTATCTGAAGACATGTCAGTCCTATTGATACAAATCAAGAAACCCTTAAACTAGTTGACT